AGTTCCTCTTACAAGAACATATGGACTTCGTTTTTCTTTAAAGATTAGAATTCACGAGGATTCACGTTTGGGGGATGAGGAGATAAAAAGAAATGAACTCCCCTATAGTTCATGTTTTCAACAATTTACTCCTAGGCTCTTGTTCTGGCCAGTTGAGACTGAGACCGGCGCGCACTCGCGGTCCCCCCTTTGTTATTACATAATACATAAAAATAATGGTATGTACAAATGTAGGGAGAAATGTTAGGCACTCAATGAACAGAAACGGCGAAACTATAAATGGTAATCTTGTCGCGCGCACCGTTCGGGCGGATGGTGTTTCTACGGCGTGCGATTTATATCGACGAGATGATGCGCTCGGAGAGCAGAAAGCGGGAGGCAAGTTTTGTTTTTTTTTTTTTCTTTTAAGGTGCGAAAGATAGTGCAGTTACACGACATGGACGCGCCAAGAAAAAAAAAACCAACGGTGCATATTGTTTTATTTTTCTTTTTTTTTTAAATTTTGTTCTCCACTCGATTTGCACCGAGTCCAAGATCCGATTGTCGCGATAAAATGACACGTTGGAATGTTGATGGTCGGGCAACAAGCATTTTTTTCGTGGAATGTGCTCCGCGCGAAGAAGTCTCACGATTATCCTTCTTTTATTTTCTTTTCCTCTTTAAAAATTAAGTCGCATTACCTAAGTACCGCAGTATATTGTTATACAACGTTAATAACGCTCCTCCCCGTATCTTCACTGGCCTTCGTGTTCGTTACAGCGTTAGACACGTTCGAAAGGAAGGACTGCTCGCTAGCTACTTATCGCTGATCTTACGCGTACATCAATGTGTACGATCTTTTTTTCCCCCCGCGTAGCCTGGGCGTAGACTAGAGTTCCCGTGTCGTTATAACGTTGATTTAAATAAAAACGCAGAACTCGCGTAAAACGATTCTACCGTCCGTACTTTTTTCCCCTTCTCGTGTCCAGATACACGATGCTCGCTACCTTCTGATTATACGATCTTATTCCAATCGGTTATGTCCGTTTTACAACACGTGTTTATTATGCTAAACGTAAAAATAAGGACGTAGTCACTGTTATGTAAACGGTTTCTCGACATTCCCAGTCCGATGTAGTCGATGCCACCTTTCGATTTTATACAATGTCCTACCTTTTCATTTTCGCTTTATCAATCGGTCGACATACAAACTGCGTGATATATCATTGTTTTCTTCTCTCCCAAGTTACTCGACGTTAAAGTCCACATTACGCAGAATAAAATAAGTTACACGATTTGTCTATTTTTTAAAATATTAAAATATGATACAAATTACAATTATTTATGCTTGGAGTGTAAGAGCCGTTAGTTGTGAAACTAGAAAGCCTTTGTCCTTTTATTCGCGATTGATAAAAACTGTCTTTCCACGGATGAGATACAATTCGATTTGTACAATTAGAGCTTTATACATGTCCTTGTAAGGTACGGTTGATATGACTCCGCGTTTACGATTATAATGATCGGCGCGCTCGCCAATGTTCCGCGGATGCGCGCGAAAAAATAATATCTATTAATTAGTGCGGTAACGTGTTCAAGCCGAACGTGATCGCTGGCCTTCTGTGGAGCACCACAGCTGAGAGCCGAGAGCTTTTCGCTCAACACGTTCGATTCTCGACGGCAAAAAGGGGACGCGTCATACTATATAATAAAATATGCAAAACAATACGAAGGATCGCTGTACATTTGGTCACTCAAGAGTTTGTCCTTAACCGTTACTTATCTAAGTATTACGTTTAGCAGTGCGTGTGTATTACGCGCTAACGGCCCTTAACCCGCTGATAATATCACAGATGAATGAGTTTCCGTGTTGTGCGTTACGCAACGCTATCTAAGATTCCTAACAATTGTCTTGATCTTCTCAATTTTGTCCTGGAGCATACGCTCCTCGGAATCAAGTGCTGCACTGACGGAGTTGAGTTCGCAGATTTTCCGTTGTAACTGAGCAGTCTCGGAACGCAAGTTATTAAACTGTGTTATCAGTTTTGATGTTTCGCTTGTTAGAATCTTTCTCTCCAATGCCTTTTCTGTAATCGAAAGGAGATATGTCATGTCATTTCAATAAATCGTATCGCGTACGAATATCCCGAACGTCAAATTATAATACAACAAAAACTTACCTTTTAAATACTCCATATAGGCAAACATAACATCCTCGATTCCCGTCCACCTCGGTTTTTCTCTTTTCTCATTCATTTCGTCGGCGCTCTCGCTGATGTCTATGGTTTTACAATGTTGCTTCACGCCATTCTCACCAGGCATAGGTAAAGTAGGATAGTACATCGAAACTATATTCGGAACTAGTGGCGGTAGAGGTGGCGGTCGTTCCGGAATATGCTTCACTTTAACTCTGTCCAGAAGACGCATTTTTTGAGGTGGTTTTGGTAAAGCTGGAGGATTCCTAGAATAAACTTTGGCGATTCTTTCACAATAGGCAGTAACGGAATTTGCACTTTTCCGCTTCTTGCGATCTGCCAGAACGTACTGCCATGTCACTTCCGCCTCTGCAAATTGTAATTGAAATATTACAACCTTGCTATTTTGTCTCGTAGAAAAAAATATCATTATTATAAACAATAAAATAAACAATAAAATTGCATTTAATTATGCATTTAATTATAACAAACAAATTATGTTATCTTTTATATAATGTTATATTATTTGACGGTATATATTTACCATCTCTTTTATTCGGAGGCATAACATCGAGACCTATAGTCCTGAGAAAGCCAACCTTAGGTTCGAAATCTGGCGTGTGAAGCAAAACGTCCGGATGCTCACGCGGAATCGGTAAGATGGATTCTATTACGGGTTCTGCTTCCAGAGGTAGTTCTGGTGGATCAGGATTCAATCTGTATCTTTTCTCAACCTTACACAATTCTATCTCTGTAAATATAATAATAATAATGTCAATTTAGTAAAGTAATATATAAAAAGAAAGCAACGTAATAATGTTATCTTACCGTTCCTGATAGTCAGTGTAGTCAGCTCGAACATAGCTAGAAAGGCCAATTTGTCCTTCGAATATTGTAATTTAGCCGGCGGACCTTTTGTGATCCAAAGATCCACGTCTTTGGTTTCTTCCTCGCCTTCCGAATCAGAACTACACGTAACGCCCGTGTTTCTTTCCCTCCTCCGCTTACGCCTCTTTTCGGCCAGATCGAGGGACGACGTCAACTCCTTCGGCATCTCAGGTATCAGGAATGATTTCTCATTACCAATGACATCCTGCTTGCCCAGAGCCTTGCTGAGATCAGGCACATTCAGTACCGCTGGTTCGCACTTCACGGAAATCTCAGTCAAATTATTGCACTTGTCGGTAAAGCAAAACGCGGTCGTCTTCAGCTCGTTATTGCTTGTCGAGAAGTTCAGGAGCTTTTCCTGATACTTCGGGATCTGCAGGAGCACGTTGGAGACATTTTGACAAGTGCGCAACACCTCCTCGGACTTGATACTCTGCATCAGCTGCGTCGTGTCCATCGGCTTTTGCGCGATGTCATTTATGCTGAACTTAAAGCTCGGTTGAAACGGTAATGTGGACAAAATATTATTCTGATCATTTTGCATCTTGGATATACAATCGATTTCGGTCTTGCACTCCTTCTCGCCGAGATTATAACTCATCGGGTGAAAAGGCTGCAAGCCCTTCCCTTGCTGTTCATAAGGCGGCAGATGTGGGAGCGCGGCTTTCTCCTGAAGCGAATTGGTCGCGACGTGATTTTGAGTCGGCAACTGCGGCTGTCTAATCGTATTCTCATTCACACTCTTCTCATTCAACGCGTTCAGCTTGTTCTCCTTCGTCGTGACGTCCGAATTGCTCTTGTGATGCGCGCTCGTATGATTCGCGATTTTCGTACCGCTGCTAACTTGATTATTAGCACTGAAACCGCTATTAATCATTGTTTTTTCGCTGGAGACGCAGTTATTAGTCATGTTGTCATTTCGAGGAATCGTCGTGGTCGTCGTCTGATGAGACTCACCAGCGTGATGGGCATTCTGCTGCTTCGTAATATTCGAATTCGTCGTGACGCTCACGGCACCACTGATGTTATGACTGGTGTTTATCGTCGGTACATTGAGCTTGGGTTGAGCATGCTGCTGCTGCTGCTGCTGCTGCTGCTGCTGCTGCTGCTGCTGCTGCTGCTGCTGTGCTGCTGCTGCTG